CATTTATAGTAAAATATTTTATTTTTATTTTTTTATTATTATTATATACTTTTTATATAATGGATAAACATGAAAAATACATCATGATTGAATAATTGAGAAAACAGGTACCTAAAAGTAACCAATTTAAAATGTCTAAAGGATGCTTTTAATATTAATAATTAACTAAAAATGTATTTATATGAGACTTAGGGTCTAGTCTCCTTTGACCCCAAAAATAAAATTTTGTCCTGNTAGTCTCCTTTGACCCCAAAAATAAAATTTTGTCCTGCACGCATGAATGTTCTATACTTAATAATAATTTAAAATTGTCCTATAATTGTTTACTGCTTAAATTGATACCGTTTTCGCATTGTTATAATTACAACGTTATTTATTTTGAAAACTAATTGGAATTGTTGGCATTCACAGAATTTTACTCGTTCTCTTTCTAGCAGAATCAAACCTCTTTTAAGAAAATAATGGAACTAGAGACACTATGCCCAGTTAAAACATTTAATCACCATAAACCGTAAAACATAATAAATCATTAATGATTTAACTATCAAACGTTAATCAAAATTAACACTTTTTATTCTATCTCTGATTTTATATATTGTTTAGTGTAACCACGTAGTGAACCAGTTATGTTAGCCACTCGATTACTCCCAATATAATAAAAATATTAACCATTTTTTTCTGAACTGTTTTAGTTTTAAATGCTTCTTAATTTATTTTATTAATCATTACATAATTTTTAGTTCCATCCCTTATTTTATATATTAAATAATATCATTTCATCACCAATTTATCATTATTTGAACATTTTATGAGAGACCCAAATATACTTTTTTAATCCCATTTTTGCACCGATTACAAATCTGCAATTAGATATTTCTATTATCTCTTTTTTGGGATTATTACTAATTAGTAAGGGAGTGCTTACACATGAACGAATAAATTAAAAACAAAAAAAAAAATTTTATCAAGTTATTATTGATGTTAAAATAATCCGTGAAAATTTCTGTGCAAGTTTTATGTACTATTTTATTTCAACTATCAAGTTTAGAACTGATGTAACAAAATAGAATATTTTATGAGAATTTCAAAAAATGTATTTTCAGATTGATATGTGATCAGGAACTTATTTAATTACTATTAACAATAAATTTATGATAAAAGCTCAAAATTTCAATAAAATCGCAATTTTTTTTTTGTAACGTTATCCTAATAAATGAATCGCTAAATGCAGAAAGAACACATGTCCAATATTTTACAAAAATCACTCTATTGCATAATCGAATTTAATGTTGATAAATACATGATTTTGAGTAGACGAAGCACTTGTTCTATTAAATATAGAATATTTATAAATTTAATTTTGTACAAATTTTTTTATCACCAAATAAAGATTATAATGGTGAAAACCTTGCTTTATAAATCAAATTTATATAGCATAGATAGTTAAACGTATTTAAATTTTTTTGCTTTTTGAAGTCGAGAAAATTAACATTGAAATTTGAACTATCTTAAATAACCATTTTTTTCAGCCAATGGTAGCGACGTACGATTGCCGATTCGGTAAAACTTGTGTTCTACGTGCTTGAGGTACAAGGTTCCTAACCGCGTATGGCAAGGAATATTTTTAATTTTTTCTTAATTCTTTTTAAGTTAGAATAAATTTTCAACTCCTTTGATTTTTATCTCATTTAGATTCAATAAC